AAGTATCACACCCAATTTATTATCACACAGCTAAGGGATGTAATTTCTGTAAACAAATAATTACTAAATTATTAAACTAAAATAAAAGTCAATTTAACAAAGAATTGTTGTTGTTGTTACGTGCCATCGAGTCGGTTCCGAGACATAGCAATCCTGTATAGTTTCCGAGGAGCAACTGGGTGAGCTTGAACCACTGACCTTACAGGTCAAAGCAACTTTATAGTCTGGTGCATTAACTCAAAAGCACCACACCAGGACTCTAACAATGAATTAGATTCTATTAAGAACACTGGGCTCAGGCACTAAAATCTACTAGTTATAATGTATGGTAATGAATGGTTATTTTGTTGTTAAGTGCCGTGGAGTCAGTTCTGACTCATAGCGACCCTGTACAGGGTTTCCAAGGCTGGAAATCTTTACGGGAGCAGAACGCCTCATCTTTCTCCCGCAGAGCAGCTGGTAGTTTTGAACTGCTGACCTTGCAGCTCGCATCCCAATTTGTAACCACTACGCTACCAGAGCTCGTTATGAATGGTTATGTAAAATCACAATTCAAGTCCAGGTCTCTCATATATGGTGGCTGGTGGTGATTATGTGCTCTGGACTCGGTTTTGACTCATAGTGACCCTGTGTAGGGTTTCCGAGGCTGTAAATGTTTACAAGAGAAGAAAACCTCATTTTTTTTTCCTGTGGAACCGCTGGTAATTTCAAACTGCTGACCTTGAAGTTAACAGCCCGACTCAAAACCACTACACTACCAGAGCTCCTTCTCTTCATCTAGTTGTTATTGTTGTTATGTGCCATGTAGTCATATAGAGATATTATCAATTTCATAAAGGTGCTAGGTGAAAAAAAAATCAAGATTAGTATTCATTATCTGCCTTCAGAGAAGAGTTGATAAAGGTAATAGCTAAGATTAAAAACAAAACAAAGAGAGGGGAGAGAGGGGAAGGTGGAGCACAGGGCAGGGATTAGACACAGGATAGTTTGATTGCTAGGGAGGGGGCAATATACAAGTAGGGATAGGGGAATGGAAGAACAAAGTAGATGGGAGAACAATTAGACAGCTCTCAATGGGCTAAGTGAGACAGAGGTAAATAATGATATATGCACAACCTGGGAACAACAGGGTTCTGAGATACAGAGATAGAGCCATGGTTGGAATGTGGAAAAGGGGGGAATAATATTAAGATGCTTGGCTGTGTTTTGAATCTTGGTTTTCCTTGTATTATATTATAAAATAGACACTGGAGGGGGAGAGAAAGGAACAGCCAAAAGTATCACCACAGAAAACTTGTAAGTTCGTCTTCTGCCTATAACTGATTGGAATACCTAAAATGGGGCTACAACGTGCCCAGTGAAGGAGGCTTCCTGCGGAGCCTCTGCAATACATAAGATATAGGTGGAAGCCGGAACCACATCCAGATCTCCAGAGATGGTAAATTCCCACTTGAAAGGACAAGCAGATCAACCTGGAGTGGCTAGAAGAACAGAAGATACTTCTTGAAAGAAAGACGTACAGGAAAAATATAAAACAACATAGGCAGACCAACTGTTACTACAAGAACAAGCAATTTGCTTGCACAGGAAACATCAATGCAAGTGGTCGGGTACCCTCAGTGAGGGAAAAACAGCAATGAAGCAGTGAGCTAAGCCCTACAATGTTCAATAGACTTCTGTGAACCAGGCAAGACCTGGGGACTCTTGGGCCCAGAGTCAGTGACATAGCCACAGAACACTAGAGTGGAGAGTGAAGCATCCAGCTGATAAGAAGAGAGGGCATATGCATAAGAACACCCACACTTGCAGATAATACCCACTTATCCTGGCTTCAGTGACTGGATGATCAGAGCTCAACCAGAAGTAAAAAGAAGAGGATTCTCGTACAATTTGATGAACCTGACCTACACCTATGGAAGCAGTAGCTCAAAAGAGGGAACAAGTCCTTACAGCAAGAATCATTCCCACCCCCTCCACACACAGAGTAGACAGGGATGGGCAACTTGGACACTGTCTACCCAAAATGGGGGGTAGGGGGCTACAAAGGCAAGAAGTGGCTGACTTACAAGCTTTCAAGAGGGAATCTAGATCCAGAGGGCCTGGAGGAAGGTAGAATCTCCAGTGAGTAGTATTCAATCTGACTAGGCGGGGCTGATGCAATGAAATGCAGACAGGTCTCTTGTGATATAATAGTAAATAATTGTTATCAGGACTGATTGTGAGGGTCGGAAATGTAAAGGTAGACGTTTTATAGCAAGGAGGGGAGTGATTAACTTTTCAGTCTAGGAGCGGAGGTCCCTAGGACCATCAAGGGAGAAGAGCAGAGAGCGGGACCCTACCCAGAGAAGCAGTGATACCTGAAATGGAGCCAGAGATGATGACGTGGAGCAATGGAGCAACTGGAGACTTTAGCTCCAGAGAGGGAGAGTGCTGAAGACCTGGGGGTACGGGGGAAGGATTGCATGGAGGGGATTGTAACCATGGCAATGAGATGATGTACGATAGAATGAATGTAAAACTAACGTTCTCTAATGTAAACTATCACATAATTCACAATAAAACATTTAAGAAAAAAACAAAACAAAGAAAAACCGGATTCCTATTTAACACAGAGTATTAGTGAATTATTACTTTTTTATTACTTAGCTGAAATACATATTCTGTTTGCAAACTTCACCCTGAGAAATTCACAAAATTTAGCTACTTTTTATAATATCTTTAAAATATATAACATGGAGTCTGTGACTATCATTGAAAAAGAAATAGAACGAAAATCTGAAGAGTTCAGAAATATAAATGCTTGTGTCTTTCCCTACCATCTGTCTCACAACATCTATGACTACCTACCATTTCAGATTGTGCTCCTGCATTCATCTTTTTACCTTTTCTACTAAAACTTCTATAGTGACTACGTCCTCTAGGTCCCTTCCTAATTTCTCCTTCCAAGTATGCAAGTCGTCTCATTTTCCTTCCACTTCTTCGTGTGGTATCCCTGATGGTACAGTAGCATAAGCACAGGACTAATGCTAACTGCAAAGCCAGCAGTATAATCGCACCAGTCGCTCCTTGGAAAGCCTGTACAAGATTTGCTATGAGTTGGAACCGACTCGACAGCACTTTACAACAACACAGGATACAAGTACAGAATGATTTGTTTCTGTGTAAACTAAGTAAAATAACCCAATAAAGGTGAATTATTTCTTTGAGAGATATTGAATTAGATAAAAGAGAAAATTGTAAAATATTAAGGAAAAATCATAAACACACACACAATAGGGCCCGTATTTCAAGTTTTTAAAAAACTACCTATAAGCTTTTGATCCATTTTAAAGAAACCAAAACTAGAAATCAGAGTAATATACATTATGGATATAATCTATATACAAACAAGTAAAGGTCTCTCAACTCACCTTCAAAGAGATGACATTTGCTCTACATAAAAAATTTGGTACGTATTCATTTGTGCAGCTTCAGTTACAATTTAAAAATAAGGTATGTTTATTTTAATGATTTTTCTGCTTTAATTTTTTTTTAATGTTTTATTGTGAATTATATGATTGTTTACATGAGAGAACTTTAGTTTTACGTTCATTCCATCGTATATCATTTCATTGCCATGGTTCCAATCTCCTCCATGCATCATCAGTCGACCAAAGGGTATACCCTAGAAACCCGCCCCCTACACTCCCCACCCCCACCCCCTGCCCCCAGTTTTCAGCCCATAGTCCCTCTCCCTCTCTGGATCCAAAGTCCCCAGCTGCTTCATCACTCCATGTCATCGTCTCTGTCTCCATCTCAGGCATCTCTGATTCTCTGCTCTCGGCTCTTCTCCATTGATGGTCCCAAAGACCTCTGCTCCTAGACTGGAGAATTAATCACTCCCATCCTTGCCACAAAACGTCTACCTTTGCATTTCCAACCCTCATAATCAGTCTGATAACCATTATTCACTACAGTATCACAAGTTTCGCATCTGTATTTCATTTCATCAGCTCCGCCTAGACAGATTGGATAGTACTCACTGGTGATTCTGCCTTCCTCCATGCCCCCTAGCTCTAGGTTCCCTCTTGAAAGCTTGTAGCTTGTAAGCCAGTCACTTCTTGCCTTTGTAGTCGTCCCCTCCCCCCCCGATTTTGGGTATCCAATGTCCAAGTTGCCCATCTCTGTCTACTCTGTGTGTGGAAGGGGTGGGAATTTTTCTTGCTGTAAGGATTTGTTCCTTCTTTTGAGTCACTGCATCCGTAGGTGTATAGGTCAAGTTCATCATATTGTATCAGATCACTCTTTCCTTTTCCCTCTTCTTTCTTCTCCTGGTTGAGCTCTGATCATCCAGTCATCCGGTCCAGGTCACGTGGGTACCATCTTCAAGTGTGGGTATTCTTGTGCACATGCCCTCTCTTCCCATCAGCCGGTAGCTCCACTCGAGTCCTCCGTGGCCACGCCACTGACTCTGAGCCCAAGAGTCCCCAGGTCTCCTTACACTGCTTGCCAACCAGGTCCCCAACTGGATCCACAGAAGCCCATCAAACATTGTAGGGCTTAGCTTGCCGCTTCATTGCTGCTTTTACCCCACTTCCCCCTATCGGTGAGGTGATGTGTGTGGTCACCAATCAGAGCATGTATTTCCGCTGAGTCTTAGTCTTGGAAGGGGGTTTGCATTGCGGGGACTCGACCACTTGCCTTGATGTTTTCTGGGGTGCTTTAATGTTCTTAATAGCCTATCAAGTAACTGTCCCAATCCCATCAGATAAGACAGTATCTAATATCTTTTTTCTAAATACCTTCACCTGTATAAATTCTACATGTCTATATAAAATGGTAGTTTGTAGTAACAAGTTCTCCAAAGTAACTATGGAAAAAAGTATTAGAATGTATGCTCTGCAGGGCATGAATCTTTATCTGTTTTGCTCAAGTGAGCAAAACCTAGGACGTTGCCTGGTAAATAATCGGAGGCCACACAATAATAACCATTTGTTGAATGAAAGAGAATAGCAACTTACCGTGATGACAGCCTTGCTAAGACAGATGGATCCCCTGCAGCCATACTCTGTTTCATCTTCAGATTTGTAATAGCTTAGAGTATTATTTTTCAACACTACCCAACGATCCTGCCATCCATGAATGTAGTTTGTCCACTGGGGGCAGAGAATTGGGAGGAGAAAAGAAAACAAAAGCAGAAAGTTAGTAATCTAGAAATCCAAACTTTTTGATACAGCAATCTAATTTTAAAACTGCGCAAAGTCCTAATTTAACTATGCACATATGGAATAAAAATTACTATAGAAGTGAAAGGCTGAGATTTTCTATATTTACAGTGATTTCGTTATTTTTATAAAATTCTAAGTAAAATAAATAGTTAACAAAAAACAACCATTGAGTCAATTCTAACTCATTGTGACACTGTTTCTGAGGCTGTAAATCTTTAGGGGAATAGAAAGCCTTCTCCTCTCCCGCAAAGCAGCTGGTGGGTTTGAAAACTGCCAACCTTGTGATTAGTAGTCCAGTGCTTATCCTACAGCACCACCAGGGTTCCTTTAAGAAATAAAGATAAAATTTTCCTCTAATATTTTAGGAATAGAACAGAAACAGAATTTTGGTTAAAAATTCTGCTTTGATCTTTGTATTTTCATTCTCCCCTCCTCCCCATGCTTGTTACACTTAAAATTGTTTTGGCCCCTGCCAAAAGTTAACACCGAGTCCTGGACTAAAGCTGTAGGATAAACACTGAACCACTAACCACAAAGTCAGCTGCTCAAACCCATCAACTGCTCCTTGAAAACCCTATACAGGGTTGCTACGAGTAATAACTAGCTCAATGGCACTTAACAAGAACATAACCTAAGTAACACAGTCAGTAAAAAAATAAGTTTGGTTGCTTTCGTTTCTTATTCTCCTGCATTAGTATTAACAAAGTCTTCTAAATCAATAAAAATATGAAGCTATTCATTGCCAAATTTTCATTCTGTTATAAATTATTGCCATATGCAAACTTTTAATGGTCTTATTAACAAGAGTTCAAAATGCTAGACCATTAATCTTTAATAACATCAACTTTAATTTTTCTTCACACAATTTACTATCACATTTAATATGGTTAATGTATAACCCAGCTTCAAAAGCTACATAATCCACTACCTAAAATACAAATGGTTGAAGCTTTTAGCATTCAAGACTCTCTTTAAATTAATTCTACTTTGCTTCCAGTGACTTTCATTTCTAATGTGTGACTGGGCAAACTGCTTACCCTTTCTATTTCTTCATCAAAATCTCCCTTTTACTGTTGTTATGAATTAAATAAGAATACAATTAGAACCAAACCTAGCACATAAATAATATGTGCTCAGTTGGAAGCAGAGTTATGTATAACCGATGATACTTAAGTTTCAGCTCAGCAGGAATAGGCTCCTTCCAAAATGATACGAGGGGAGGGGTTCAAGCAAATGTGTACCTATAATTTAACATTAATTTCTCAGCGGGGTCCAACAAATTGCATAAGCTTTAGGACCTTAGTTCAAAAAGTGTTAAGCTCTATTATTTCACCTGGAAGAATGATTTTCACCTTAGTTCCACAGTGTTCCCTCACTCTTCCTCATTAAAAAAAATACAGACATAGCCCATACTAGAAATTACAGGAATCAAAAATTCCTGCCCCCATATATCAGTGAGCATAAAATCAGAATGAAAAGAAAACAGAGCATAACAGCAGCAAGTTACAATAAAACTGCTATGAGCGCTCAGATGAAGCTCTTGAATAGTTGGCAAGAGAAGAAAAAGTTTCACGAAAGATTAGTTTTTGAGATGGATAGAATTTCAGGCAACAGGTGACTGGAGAAAAAGTAGATAAGGTAAACCACAAAGGATGAAGAGAATTCAGATGAAGCTGAATGGGACATTATGAAGCTGAAACCCGTTAACACACGGATCCTTTCCCACCTATGATCTATATTGATACTTTAGAATTACTGTCTATCCAGTACTTTTGGAACTTTAACACTTAAAGGGATTCTATAGAAAATAATGCTTCATAAGTACTTCCATGTGTTTTAGATTACCACATAGAAAAAGAACTTTGGACTTGTACAATTCTAATACAAGCTTACTGCCCCTCCCCTCCATTCCCCACCTTACTCCAAATCCACTCTTTAGGGGTGGGGAGGAGAATGAGTCAAAACAATTTAGTATTGGGACTAAACTAGCAATGTAGATAACACTACTCAATAGAAGTATAAGAACAGATATTGACCACCAGAGAGATGAAAATAAAAATTTCCATGAGATATCATTTCACCCCTGCAAAAAGGACAATGACTACAACAACAGGAAACAATGTTGGCAAGGTTGTAGGGCGATTGGATATGTTGCTGGTGGGAATGCAAAAAGGTTACAACCAACACTGAAACTGGTAATGAGCTTTCTCCAAAAGCTAGAAATAGAAAGACCTTATCATCCAACAACCAGACTCATAGGTATACTAGGGTAAATCCACAAGTATTCACAGAATATCACAGAAACTTTTATTAAACAAAAACATCAAAATGTTTCTCAACATATCCTTCCTCTATGGAGTCCTGGTGTGGCACTCTGAGTTAAGCACTAAATGGCAAAGTCAGTTTGAACTGAAAGGTTGGTGGCAGTTCAAGCTCACCAGCCACTCCTCGGAAACCCTATAATGGTCGCTATGGGTTGGAAGTGACTTGGCAATTAACAACAACAACAAATCTAGGTCTACATACTTCTAAAGGCTATGTCCCTTCTCTCTAACCCTTCCCTGAAGTTCTCGGCTCTTTGATTTACACATCAGAATGGCAGTCTGGGATCTGCCAAGGATTCAAATTGTGTTCCTTTTAAAAGTTCTTTGAGTTTGGTGAACAAATGTAAATCTAAGAGGCAAGATTTGGGATGTATAGTGGATGGGGTAAGGTTTTGCAAGTGCAAAGTTGACACAGTTTGCCACCCTTGAAGAATGCGCAAGTACATTGTGGTTATAGAAAGTAAAAAAAAAAAAGAATTTCCTTGGCACAACTCTCCTGGCCTTTCCTCACCAATACAGTTTTCAATTTTCTGAAATCTTCTTCCTAATAAGCCCTCATGGTCATCTTGAGTCCTTTAAGAAACTCTATCAAAGGTACCCCCACCTTTGGAATTCCAAAAAGCAGTCACCATAATGACCTTCTGAGCTGGCCTTTCTGCCTTGAATTTAACTAGCACAGCAGATCCCCCTCGAAAGCCCCTATTTTGATTGGACTTTTTTTTTTAAGGCACCTAATGAGATTCCTCATAGCTCTGGTAGCATGGTGGCTACGAATCGGGCTGTGAATCGCAAGGTCAGCAGTTCGAAACTACCAGCAGTTCTGCAGGAGAAAGATGAGGCTTTCTGCTCCCATAAAGATTTACAGACTTGGAAACCCTGTACAGGATCGCTATGAGTAGGAACCAACTCCACGGCACATAACAACAATAACAACAACAAATGAGATTCCTGGTGTGGTGCTGTGGGTGAATGCATCAGACTGCAAAGCCATTTGAACTGTAAGGTCGGCAGTTCAAGCTCACGAGCTGCTCCTCCGAAACCCTATACAGGGTTGCTATGGGTCGGAACCTATTCGATGGCACTTAACAACAATGCGATTCAGACAAATAGATTACTGAGAGAATTTGTCAACAGCCATCCAATCAATGGTACTTTAACAACAACAAATTCTGATTACAAAGCCATATTTAAACACGTTTTGTTTAAAATAAACCCATACATTTATGAATTGGAACTCTAGTAGTAATGCTTTCTGACTTACTCTCGTATAGCCAAGAGATAAAAGAGCAATGATGTGAATAGATGTTGTCCTTAAGTGCAGCTGAGTCAGTTCTGACTCATAACAACACTGTGGTGAGTTTGAACTGCCGTCCTTGTGGTTCAAACTAACTTGCGGTCCAGTGCTCTATCCCACAGTGCTACACCAGGACTCCATGAATAGATGAATGCACATCTATATTCATCATGCCATTATTCAAAAGAGAAGAAAGATGGAAACATCCTAAATGTCCATCAATAGATGAATGATAAATTCTGGTGCATACACACAAAGACAATGCAACTATAAATAAGAGTCTGCGAAAAAATCTAGATGTATGAAACTGGAGGACATTATGCAGAGTGAAATAAATCAATCACAACAGGAGAAGTATTATATAGTCCCACTATTGTAAAGGAGCTCTGATAGCGTAGTGGTTACAAATAAGGCTGCAAACTGCAAGGTTGGCAGTTCGAAACCACCAGCTGTTCCGCAGGAAACAGATGAGGCTTTCTGCTCCCGTAAAGATTTACAGCCTCGGAAACCCTATGCAGGGTCACTATGAGTTGGAACCAACTCCACGGCACACAGCCACCACTATTGTAAAAACTCAAGAAAGCATACAGAAAACAAAGTTCTTCAATAATTAATAGGGATGGAAGGGTGAGGGGGGTGGAATCAATATCTAGATAGTTGTTACTGTTAAGTGCCATTGAGCTGATTTCAACCCATAGTGACCTTGTATAGGGTTTCCAAGGAGCAGCTGGTAAGCTTGAACAGTTGACTTTTTGGTTCAAACCGACTTTGTAGACACTTGTTATATTTGCTGATGGGGAAAGGTAAGACCCAATATAGGTGACGTCAATGGAATGACCAAGGTAAATAAATAAAGACACCAAGAAGTACACCAGAAAAAGAAATAATTTCAGTAAATGCTGTAACATATACAAATCTGCAACAATGTTACAACTAAAAATTGTGTGTGGTTGTGCAGATAAATATGTAAAGAAATATGTATGTACAGAAGGAGTCCTGCTGTGGCAATGTGGAATAAACTCTGGACCGTAAGGTTAAGTTTGAACCACAAGGTTGGCTGTTCAAACTCACCAGCCACTCCTGGGAAACCCTATACAGGTTCACTCTGATTCAGAACGAACTCAATGGCATTGAATAACAACAACATATTTATAGAAAGGCATATGCAATTAAATGTATATGCATATATAGGTGAATCTGTCGGTATGTTTATGCATGCTGCATATATATCAACATATAATAAAGCACACAGGGTTACAGAGGCTTCCTAACAATTTGCGGGATTGTTTTACTGCACTGAAAGACTTAGGACCAGTCTCCAGGGGCAAGTTAGTCAATTGGCTTAAGACAGTCATAAAGATAATATTCTACATCCTAAGGCGCTCTGGTAGCGTAGTGGTTACGAATCGGGCTGCGAACCTTAAGGTCAGCGGTTCGAAACTACCAGTCGCTCCGCGGGAGAAAGATGAGGCTTTCTACTCCCGTAAAGATTTACACCCTCGGAAACCCTGTACAGGGTCGCTATGGGTCAGACCCGACTCGATGACACTTAACAACAACAACAACAATCTGGTAAGGGGACTCTTGGTGTGGCGCTATAAGATTTGCACTGGATTGCAAACCAGAAGGTTGGCAGTTCAAACTCACCCTCGGAAACCCTATATTGGATTGCTAGCTATGAGTTGGAACTGACTAGATGGCACTTAACAACAACAACAAACTTATAAGTAGTGCCTGGGTCCAAAAAGCTAGGTAATAGCCATCTATGATACAACTATTGGCTTCTATATGTACGGAACAAAAGAGAATGAAGAAAACTGAAGGCTCAAAGAAGAACCTAGTACAGGACCAACAGCCCACAAGGACCATGGCTGCTTCTAACCTGAGACCAGAAGAACTAGATGGTGCCCAGCCACAAACACAATAAGAAGGTTTCTAATAGAATTGGAAAAAAAAAAAAGTTGAACAAAATTCAAATTCTTTTTACAAAGACCAGACCTTTTAGACCAACAAAGACTAGAGGAACCCCCAAGGCTATTACCCTAAAGACACTATTTGAACTTGAACCAGAAACTATTTCTGGAGGGCAACTTTCAGCCAAATAGGTTGGCTTATCAAATAAACAATAAATGTGAGTAATGCACTCCTTTGAACAATCAAGTACGTGAGACCAAATGGTCAATATTTATTCAAAAGCAAAGATGAAAAGACAAGGGAAAGAGAAGCTAGAGCAATGGAAACAGAACAACGGAAATAATGAGAATGCTGTCACACAGTGAAAACTGTAACCAATGTAGGGAACAGACTACATAAAAATTGGGTTGTATAAAAATGGCAACCTGATTTGCTGTGTAAACGTTCACCTAAAGCGCAATAAAGTAATATTAGAAAGAAAAAGAAAAATAGATACTAAGTTTTAAATTGTGTAAATTACCAGTTCAATACAAAGGAATCAAAATATAAATGTATGTTTAAATTTTAAAACATGCTATGGCTTCCTAGTGTGGCACTGAGGGTTAATGTGCTGAAGTTCAAGGTCCATTTGAACCACAAGGACAGCAGTTCAAGGTCACCAGCTGCACCTCAGAAACCCTCTATGGGGACACTATGAGTCGGACCCAACCCGATGGCACTTAACAACAACGATGTACTCTGCATATGTATTCAATATACAACATTCCTGATTAAAAAGCTTCTAAAGAACATTTCATATATAAAAATTTCCTTCATAGCTGTCCACTACAAAAATATTAAAATGTATTGATTGATTCCACCTATGCAGCAACAGTAAAACTGAAGCTATGCACCTTCAATTGACATGGTCAATGATAGAGAGATAGAAAGAATGAACACAGTGAATACTCAAGAGCACTGGTGACTTTTCTCACTGCTGACTTGAACCCTCCACCCCCAAAAGAGTGATGGTCTGTAGAACACAAGTAGAGCTTGTTTTATACAACACTAACACCACCACAATGCTAACATGGCAGTGTGCTCATTTGAGTGAAGACACTGTTAGAATCATTGAGAAGCAAAGAACTCATTTCATAACTATCCCAACCTGAAAATAAATACCTATTACACCAGGTGTTCAATATAGACGCCTTAGTTATAACGTACACTTAATCTAAAGAAACTCTGGGGAGTCTCACTTTACTAGAAATCTTTCGCTTCCATTTCAAGAATGATTACAGTATTAAGTCTTGACTCGGACACTGACAAATACCTTCCTTTCCTGGGCCCTTTAACACCAGCCTTCTAAAGACAGCCTAATATGAAACAATGCCACAAATGAAGTCCAAATGCTTAACCAAGTAATACTGGAAGCAAAGTGATTTCTTAATAGTGGGTACACATGATCTCGTATCTTATGATCAACTTGTTAAGGGACTGGCCCCAGCTCCTCCTCTCTCCAAGTTAAATGCAAACTCCAGCCATTTCTAAAAGTTTAACAGGAAGGAAGAAGGAAGTAGAAAAGGCTATGTGAATCTTCCCATAACAACCATTAAAAACAAACAAACAAAAAAAGCGCTACTAAAACATTACCCACTTTGTCTCTTAAAAAAGTCTTCATCTATTTTAACTATTAACCTTATAGTCTCAATCCTACAAATGACTATATGCTTTGCTAGAATTTTGAAAAGGGAATTTAAAAAATAAAAAAATACAGCAAAGACACAAAAGTGTCTTCCTTATCTTCCAAGAATATTTTATTATTAACTCATGCTTTTCTTCATGGACCAAAGGTTGGTCTCCATTACGACACGTCTTGTACTATATACATATCACATGTCGATTAAATAGCGCTTTCCAGAACTAGGGTAAGGGGGTCAGGAAGAAATTGTGTCAAAGTCCTCCTCACTCTCCTTTTAGTCGGGCACATCCTACAACCTCAAATTTCAGCACCAAGCCGAATTTCTCCGGCTTCTGCCGTAACAGCAGCGCCTGCACAGCCCCCCAAGCCTACTCGGCAGGTTTGGGGGAGCCCGATTTACACCGTGCCCGTGGCCAGTTGTTCTGAAATCGCCGTGGTCCCACACGGACTCCGATAGCGGAGGCAGCTGCCGCGCTGGCTGCTAAGGCATGGTGCGCATCCTCCGGCTGGCACACGTCTCCCCAGTCCCAGTCGCCGCCGGGGAGGAGGGTCCCGATCAGCCGCCACCACCCCTCGTCCACTGACAGCCTTGCGGCAGGACTCAGCCACGCACCCCGACCCATTCCGCAGCCCCCGCCCCAGGACGGTCCATGCCTCCCGCCCAGCCCCACCCCACGCCCGCAGCCGCTCCCCTCCCTCGCTTCGTAGCAGGTGAGTCGGGCCGGGGGCAACCGGCCCCGCGCGCGACTGGCTCACCTTGCTGAGGACCCCGCAGCGCTCCACAGGCGGCCCGGACTCCGTCTCCGGATCCTCCTCGGAACCCGATGAGTTCCAGCTCTGGTTATCCGACATGGAGGCGCGACAGCCAAGCAGGAGACCGGCCTCCGCTCCCAGTGGTGTGCCGGGGGAGGCGCCCAGTCCCCGGGGTGAAGGGTCGGGGGATGGCGAAGGGAAGAGTGCCCGCTCGGGCGCGGGGGGTAACGGGAGTAAGGACGAAGTCCGACCGCCGCGCCGCCGCTCCTGACACCGAGCGGACCGGGGAAGGAGGACAAGCGGCGAAGAAAGCCTGCTCTTCCAGCCGTCAGCCGCCGCCGTCGCCGTGACCCCTACGTAGTGCCCGGCGCCGCCACCTGAATTCGATCCTCTGGATGCCAACCTCAAACAGGGTAGAGGGAGAAAGAAGGAAAAGAAGAATCCAGCCGCAGAGACCTGGGTGAACTCACACCTCAACTACGGCCGCCATCTTCCTGCCTGGCCCACTATTTACCCTCCCCTCCCCTTTCCCCTCCCCTCCGTCCTCCCCTTCTCCTCTGCTCCCCGCCCTGTCCCCCTCCCAACGTCTGACGCGACACGCCGAAAGCCTATGGCCCTCCTCTCGCACCTTACCTCCGGCTCTCCCGAGTTACTACGGGTAGAAAAGTAGGTGGAGTGGAGAAGAAAGGGGGAGGGACAGGGGCGCCGCCGTGCTGCATGCTGGGAGGGACGCTCTTCTATCAGCCACGCAGCATACTGGGAGTTGTAGTAGTCACGAACCTAAGGCAGCCGGTGAGTGATTCGCGGGAGTGAGGCTGGTCGCCTTGGGGACGGTCAAGCGTGGGTGGGCTCCGTTTCACAGCTGTGTGACCCATTGCCCGGTCCTCTCTTCTATTTCTACCAAGTGTGTTTGTGACGAACCCGTCGGGTTTACGAGCCCTGACGAGAGATGACAATTCTCTACTGAAGTTTCTGGGCCTGCCGCGCGTGTCTGTTTTCCTAAAGCCGGGGATCCTCTTCCCGCTCGCCTAGGCAATAGTGTACCGGAAGCTTCCGCTTTGGTTAGCTATGGTCTGAGTAAGGGCGTGCTACTTAGTGACAGAATGTAATTTATTTCCACCAAACCAGCACTGCAAATTCGGAAGGTCTTCTATGTTTCTTTTCAGACATCAATCAGACTTAATGCTTTCCAATCACCATTTCCACTTTCTAAAAAAGCAGTCCCTTATCACCAGATCAAGCAACAAGCATTTTGTTAGATTTCTTGTGTTTTTATTTTTATGGGAAGGAACTTTTTTGTTGCCAGAGAATGAGTGACGTTAGAAGTTTAAAATAAAGACTATTATATGGTAGCCTGAAGTTTTCTATGAGTTGCGAATGACTGTGTTCCGGAGATCTGGTTCATCATCTCTACCGATATGAAATATATTAGGAATGGTTGGAATGGAAACTTGTTCGTATGAAAAAGGTCAAAGTACAACAGTGACTAATAGTGACGTAGGCAATAGAACGTTGGCTTTGTCTCAACACTGGATTTGAATTGGTGAAAAGACAAATAGATCGAACAGATCTAGTCCTTTTGCATATATGATTAAGATAATTTCTGAAACTTGCATTGTACCTTCAGTTCTTTCCTCCCTTTTTCTATTTTGACATCTTATCAGTTTCCTGATCATTGCCAGCAATAAAATTCCTTACTAAACTTCGGAAAACATGTCTGATTATATCTACTTATCACAGTTTGCTAGTCAGCCTCCATTCCTGATGCCACATTCTTCTTCATATAATCCAGTTTCTTAGATTATTTGCTCAGCACACAGACTGAATAAGTATAATGAAAGACTACAACCCTGACACACACCTTTCCTGATTTTAAACCATTCAGTATCCTCTTGTTCTGTTCCAGTGACTTCCTCTTGATCAATATACAATTTCCTCAGGCGAAAATTTAAGTGTTCTGAAATACCCCTTTTAAGCATTGTTGTCCATAGCTTACGGAGATCCACAAAGTCAAAAGCCTTTGCATAGTCAATAAAACACAGATAAACATCATTCTTGTATTCTCTGCTTTTCCGCAAAGATACATCTGATGTCAGTAATGATATCCCTAGTTCCCCATCCTTTTCTGAATTTGGCTTCACTTTCTGACAGTTCTCTGTCAATGTACAGTTGCAACCATTTTTTAATTACCTTAAGTAAAATTTTACTTGCATGTGATATTAATGATACTGTTCCAAAATTTCCACATTCTGTTAGGTTACCTCTCTTTGGAAGGGGCACAAACATGGATCTCTTGTCATCCAAATTTCTTGGCATAGATGAGTGAGAGCCTCTAGTGCTCCATCAGTTTGTTCAAAGATTTCCATTTGTATGCCTTCAATTCCCGGAACCTTGTTTTTCTTCAGTGCATTCAGTCAGTACAGCTTGGACTACTTCTTTAAGTCTCATTGGTTCTTGATCATGTACTACCTCTTAAAATGGTTGAATATCGATCATTTCTTTTTGTTATAGTGACTCTGCCTTTATTCCATCTTCTTTTGATGCTTTCTGCATCACTCAATATTTTGTCCATAGAATCTTTCAGTATTGTAGGTGAGGTTTAAATTTTTGATTCCGTTCTTTCAGATTGAGAAATGTGGGGGGTTTGTAACTCCAGGTCTTTGCACATGTCATTATAATGCTTTACTGTTTTAATGAGTTGCCCTTTGAAATTTTCTGTTCATCTCTTTGACTTCCTCATTTCTTCCAATTTTTTTTAATGTAGCTACGTTGGAGAGCAAATTTCAGAGTCTCTTTTGACATTCATTTTGGTCTTTTCATTCTTCCCTGTCTTTCTATTTACTTTTAATTTTTTTCAACTTTTTATTGTGAATTGAATGAAGTATTACTGAGCAGATCACACTTTTACATTGAACAAATCTTATACTTTGCTTTATTATATGGTTACAATCCCCTCCGTATACGAATAGTTAATGCTATTTATCTCAATTCACTTTAACTATTGCATTCCTCTATTTCTCCTACTACCTTCATTATTCCTCTGCCAACCTCCCTATTGTTGCATATTGCCTGCCCTGTCACCCATGTTAACATGTGTTTATCCTCTAGCCCAGGAATAATTTTCCTGCTCCCATCCCTAACTCGTAGCCATCATAAAATTGTTTCTTTTATCAAGAAAACCCCCTTTAAAAAAAAAAAATCAAAGCAAAAAAAAACAAACAACTTCTTACAACCTTTGTCCCATATAATATTTGCCCTTTTGTGATTGACCAACTTGACTCTGCATAATGTCTTCCAGATTCAACCAAATTGTGAATTGTTTCTTAGCTTCATTATATTCCTTAACATTTTGTAGTGTTACATTGTAACTTTAACCATTCTTCTGGGCATTTAGGCTGTGTCCATCTTTTTGATAGGTCTCTTGTAAACAGCATATTGAAGGATCCTGTTTTCTTATCCGTTCTGCTCTATATGTATCTTGACTGGTATTTTTAATCCAGTTATAGTCAGTGTAATTATCAGTAAGTATGAATTGATTGCGGCCTTTTTTTATGTGGTTTGTGTGTAGTGCTGCTGGATTCTTTGTTCCCCATAATTTTCTATGTTGAGTTTCTTTTTATTTGTGGTTTCTTTGTCGTTTCTATTGTGTTAATGTTTACTAAATTTCTCTGATTATCCTCTTTTTTTCTATTTTGATGTGTTGGTGTATTATTTTTCTTTGAAGTTACCCTGTAAGTTATTAATTTTTCCCTGTTTAAAACAATCTGTTTTGTCTTAGAATCTACTTGACATCTTTGCCATCTGGAAGTTCTGTATCTACACTATTCCCTCTTTTTGCTATGTAACTAATTTCATTATACCTTGATTTCTCCGATTGCCTAGTCTGGGTCTTGTAGGTTTGCTTTACTTTAAATACTTATCTATCTGGGTTGAAGGAGCTCTGATAGCGTAGTGGTTACGAATCGGGCTGTGAACCACAAAGTCAGCAGTTCGAAACTACCAGCTGTTCCACTGGAGAAAGATGAGGCTTTCTGCTCCCGTAAAGATTTACAGCCTCAGAAACCCTGTACAGGGTTGTTATGAGTCAGAAACGACTCCACGGCACACCCCACCACCATATCGGATTGAGTTCTGGGTGGTGGTGTCATGTATTCATGTATCATAATCTCAGGTTGTAGTCTGCTGTTGTTGATTCTTAGTCCAAAGAATGCCCTTTAGCAATTTTTTGTAACGTTGGTCTTCTTGTTGTTGTTAAGTGCCGTCTAGTCGATTCTGACCCATAGCAATCCTGTAGAGGGTTTGCAAGGAGCAGCTGGTGAGCTTGAACCACTGACCTTGTAGTTCAAACGACTTTGAAGTCTGACGCATTAGCCCACAGTGCCACACCAGGACTCCCAAAGTTGGTCTGGTCATTACAAATTCCTTTAATTGAAGTTTTATCAGGAAATGACATAATTTTGTTGCCATATTTGAGAGACATCTTTGCTGGTTTTATTATTCTTGATTGGCAATTAATTTCTTTCAGAGATTTGTGTATTTTACCAATTGCCTTTTTACCTATATGGTTTCTGCTGAGAAATCAGAGCTTAGTCTTACTGAATCTCCTTTGTAAGTAACTTTTTGCTTTTCCTGAACTGCTCTCAGGATTCTTTCTTTGTCTTTAGTTTTGGAAAATTTGATTATGATATGTCTTGGTGATTTCCTTTTGGGACCTACCCTGACTGGGGGTTTTTCAGCTTCTTCTATGCTTATCTTCTTGCCTTTCTCTTTGCTTTTTATTGTCTCTTCCTGTTCTGGAATTCCAGTCATCTATAAGTTGTACCTGTTCATGGTATCCCACATAACTCTTGGGCTTTCTTTGGATTTTTTTATTCCTTTTTACTGGTTGTTCTTTTAGCATTCTAGTATTGGACGTTTTGTCTTCAAAACTCACTAATTTGGGCTTTCAGTGCTTCAGATCATCTCCTTTGTTCTGTCAATGCACTGTCCATTTCTGACATTTTAATATTAGTCTTCTGGACTTCTATTACAGGTTTTGTATTGTTTCAAAATTTGCATTTATATTTTGTTTGTTCTTGTAGTGTTTTCCTGAATTCTTCCCTCAACCTTTCTGTCAATCCATTAAAGGTACCAAAATATCATTCTTTTGAATTATTTTTCAGTTAGTTCCATTACCTTTTTTTCCACAGACATGTTTTCTGTCTGTGCATTTTGTCATTTGGTCAAGCCATTCTCTCTTGTTTCTTCGTGTGAGCTAAAATGTCTGTTGTCTCTGGGGCATTTTGGGGTTGTCGTATTTGTAAAACCACAGTGCAGTTGTTAGACCCAGAAGGGAGGAATCTGTGGTGGGCTCTCTTGAAATTTAAGGAGTTTACAGGATGGTTGTGGAAAGGATGTAACAGCAGAATTCCTGACCCTAGGTGGAGTTCCTATTGACGTTGGTGTTATCTATGTTCAGGGCACTCAATCCATACCTACTTGATGGAGCTGGCCTCAATGTCTCTTAGGTCCACGGGCACCTGCAGGCAGGGTGACTGGTAAAATGCTGGTCTGGTGGCTCTGTGAGATTTGTAGGTCTGGAGTCAAGCCCACCTGAGTCTAGGCACCAAAGCAGCACATACCCGTATCCCCAGTACATACTGGTGAAGCTCCCAACCATGTGGCTCTGCACACTCAGAGAACAGGGTCTTTCGTGGGGTGGGTGAGGGTGGTTGCTGGC